CCACACACACACACCACACACACACACACCACACACACACACCACACACACACACACACACAACTAATACGAGTATGTCTGTGGCATTCTGTTGCCCCACTAGATTTTCTAACATGACTTCTTTTGATTATTGATTTTTACCCACTCTCTGAACAGTCAATAAAGTTCATATTTTTATTAAAGTTAACATAAATATTGAAGAAGTTATATTTGTTGTTTTAAAGAGACATTTAATTCCTTCTTTGAAGGCGAAATAAAAGTGGGGATGGGAACTCATATTATCACCTCCTTAATAAATATAATATATATTATTTATAATATAAATAAAACTATAAATACTTTCGATCTTGCCAGAAACAGAAGATTACATTTTAAATAAATGAATTTATTAATGTCGAATTTAAAATATGTATCCCACAGTTATGTATAAACATTTGTGATTGAATTTACAGATCGGACCGTTCAAATAATAATGAGGATCGTCACCTCTGTGTTCAACTAATCTAACTAATAACATTCAATAATAACCAATTAAAGAATTAATAAAATTGAAAACGGTGTGTATAATTGTAGAACAATTAACTTAAAACATTAGTATAAACAAATATTTTTGTCTCTACAATACTAAGTAAACAAGTAAAGCAGTAAACAAGCTGATAAGTCAAAATTGTGATGAAAATGAGATCATTATAATCCTGAATTTACTGAAAGATTCTGTATATTTGTGAATAATCAGATAAGTTGAGTTCCATCTTGTTGATGACTAATGGACATGTGTACATTTGTCTACATAATGTTGTCTCTTCTTTCACTCTAAACTATTAGCTGAAATAATCACAGAAGAGCAATGTGTATAATTATCAATTTATTCACATTAATATATTTGTTAAAGAGGTCATGAACGGATTTTGATGATATGTCATTTTTCATTAGTGCATTCTAGACATAGCTATATTTTAAATAAATGTTAATCATGACATGTAGGTGATAGAAATGTATAGTTAGTTATTGGGTCACTTTTTGTAATTTTTCAATTTTTAGGTCATTGTTCTGGCCCTTTGCGTCATTTTTGTCACTTTTAAGCATTTTGTTTCCTTTTCGTGTTTTTGTTAGTGAAAGTTTCTTGAATTTACTATGGCACACTAAAATAAAGTTTTTATTGTATTATCTTTTTATGACGAAATTCACTACGGTAGTGGTCCTTGTTTTTTGTTCTCAAACGACTCTCAAACTTACACGGATCTTCCATAACTTCCTCGACCTTTTAAAACTGACGGTTGGAAGAACGGAGCTAAGGATTACATTTCCACCCAAAATACATGCTATATTGAATATAATTTCATATATAAACATTATTTCACATTGTAGAATTCATTTCGTTTCATCAATAAAATAAACATGTTAATAAACATTTTTGAGTATATTTTTTAAAAATAGGTAATTTTCTCTTATTTTCAAGTCATTTTATAGAAGGAGAATTCTAGCGACTTAAGTCCGAAATACCTCGAATGTTTCCGTCTAAAGTCCAAGTATAGTAAGTATAGATGAATGTTTTCGACGAAAGTCCGAAATAGCCAGAAAGTTTTCAGCCAAAGTCCCAAGCCAAAAGATTTTCATCTTAAATCCGACTTACCGGAAGGTTTTCGGCTTAAGTGTGAAATTGTTTGCATTCTCTGGGTAAAAACTAGGATAGCCTGCCAACTTCAGACCCAAGTGCGAAATAGCCGGAATACGTTCCGATAAAGTCCGAAATAGCCGGTAGTTTTCCGGCTCAAGTCTGAAATAGTCAAAATGTTTCCAGTTTAAGTCCAAAATAGCCGGACTACTTCCACTTAACGTCCGAAATAGCGGGAAGTTTACGGGGTAGAGTCCAAAATAGCCGGCAGGTTGCCGGAAAAATTCCAAAATATCTTAATGTTTCTGGCCGAAGCTTGAAATTGCCCGAAGGTTTCCGGCTTAAAACCGAAATAGGCGAAAGGTTTCCGGCTAAATCCGAAATATATGCTTTATTCCGACTTAAATCTGAAATAGCCTGCATACGTCCGGCACAAGTCAGAAATATCCGGCGTACATTCGTCTAAAGACCGAAATAGCCGGACTACTTTCGGCTTTAGTCCAAAATAGCGTGCCTTCTTCAGGTATAAGTTCAAAACGGCCAACTTCCAGCTACAGCCCGAATTAGCTGGAAGGTTTCCGGCTTAAGTCCGAAATTGCATGCATTTTCCGGGTGAAGGCCGCGATAGCCGGTCAACTTTCGGTTTAAGTCCGAAACAGCCGCCAGTTTTCG